ACTACATTTCACTAATTTTGTAGTTATGAATATATCTTCTATTGTATCTTTCTTTATAGCTAATATTCCCTTCCGTGAAAAACACTTGAACTGGCACCACATATTTTAATTAATTATTAGATTTATATAATCTGGGGGGCTTAAATAAAAGCCACATGGTTTCTAGTTGGTTGCTTTCGAAATTTGTTAAGTTTCTCCTTCAACGTTAATCTTATTCCTTTCTGTTTTTAAAGGTGTAAATATTACGCGCTCCGGGCATCGAAACACCATTGTAGATAGTGATTATGGTGTAGAAGTTGGATGGAATAATGTACATAATGTGAGAGTGACAGTGCTTGGTCGCTATATGAACAAAATAGCAGGTTTATGTGGAACTTTCAATCAAAATCCCGGGGATGATCTCTTGATAGAAACGAGAACAACTGTAGGCAGTGCAGTAGACTTTGGAAATTCATGGAAAACTGATCCTGACGGTGACGATGCACCAGTTGTACCACATCCATGTGAAACTTACCCTGAGAGAAACGCGACTGCTACAGCCAACTGTTCAGCTCTGTTAACTTCTCCATTCAATGTTTGTGCAAGCCAGGTTGATCCAGTCACAGGGGGTTATATTGATGATTGTAGATATGATGTATGTGGCTGTGGCGTAGATCCTACAGTTTGTCTATGTCAAGCAATAGAGGCCTATGTCGCTGATTGTGCTTCATATGGTGTAATCATTATCTGGTTGAGTGATGATCGATATCAACAATGCGGTATGTAATGTCACAGCTTTAGTATAAGCTTTAAAAAATAGATCAATTGATATTATAGTATAGGGATAAGATAATGATAAGATTAGTAGTGGGATAAGATAATGATAAGATTAAATTGTTATTGGTAAACCAACCACAACTATACTTGTATGAGTTTTCAAACAGAACCCCATTCTAATTTAATATCATTGTATGGCAGGTTTAATTCAGTGGTAATAATCAGTGTGCTAACTGCATGTGTCAATCTGCTTCGCGAGTTCCCCTCCCCTTTATTTGAAAAAGTTAACCAACTAAATATAGTTATATGCAGATATTTTCACTGCAGGAAGAACCATAATTAGATAGGGTCGTTCGCTGGCTTGAGTGCATAAATTCATTAGTAATAAAGTTTTGCATTGATACAACACAATAACTCAATGTGGGTTACAAACAAATTTACTTGACAATGAAATTTTCAGAAACGTTTCCTCAGGATAGATGTGAACATCACCTAATGTACTGTATCCGAAAGGGAAATTCCCAAACATTTATTACATGCCGGAAGGTAATTTTTATCTGTGTTCATGTATCTCTGAGTATGTTTATCTCTTAGCTCGATATCAAGCGTATTCATTATTAACGAAACTTTTAGGAACTTACGGACATGCCCATTGGACAAATTGATTCACTTTTTGGATGAATATGGATAAATATTATAGATGAGAAATCAGTGATATTTTGTCCTGCTTTGCTGGTTAGCGTATGCTGAATGTATAATTTTCCCATCATAGTATATGATTTAACCATGATATAGTACTTAATTCGCTGGCGGAGGAATGCAGTCTCTGAGTTCTCTCTAGTTAGCATGAATTTTAACATTTTAAATTTTAATCTAATTTAGATTCTCCATGTGCTAGTGCTCCGTGCTTCAATGGTGGAACTTGTTCAAATAGTGGAACATCATTCTCTTGCTCATGCCCGGTTGGATATAGCGGTGACCGCTGCGAAATACAAGGTTAGTGTTATTTTCAAAAACGTACTATAATGTAAAATTCACGCAAAATTTTATGGTATCTTTTCCCTTTCCCATTTCTATCCCTGGAGTTGTGTTTTGTTTCATCACTAACACTGCAAGCTAGCTAGCACTTGCTACATTTAATAATCCTAAATTGTGTATATTACTGACAGGAGTAAACACATTCTATACCGCCTATATACAATCAAATCAAAGTAAAATAAGTTTCTATTATTAAGTTTTCATTTTTTACACCACTTGAAGCAAAAATGCAGCAACATTTGCACGTAGCCTAATATTGATGAACACATTCGTACGTTTTTGAACAAGCCTAGTTATAGCGTGTACTGCAATTTTTGATGTACAACAAAACTGCTTTTCAGCTTTATATAAATCATGTTATGGGCAATTATCGGAATCTTTGACTATAACGCTATACGTATGTGTGTCTTCGTGAAGTGATTTAGTCAACAATGTATCAACAATGCATGTCAGAAATGTATGTAATTTTATAATAAATACATGACTGTTAAGCGTTCTCCATGCAGCCGCTTCTCAAATTGAGATTATAATTTAGCTTCGTTTCTATAGTATAAGCTCAACCTTCCTCTTCAGGACAAAATAATACATGCATGTGTTCTGAATAGTGTTGTTTATTATGGAAGTACATATGCTATAGTTTTCAGATTCTTGCAAAGAAAATGTACTTGTGCGGAGGATGAACAGGAAAACTGTGGCAGACACCTGGCAGGACAGGAGTGCGAACAACCCTGAAAATATTTTGAAGCTATGAAAGCATTGGTTGGCAATAAATTAGGCTATAAATTTCCAGAAATTTGATGGTAAAGTTTATTAAAGAACTGAGATTTCCAGCACCAAAAGGTGGTCATATTGTTGCAACCTAAAGTCTTCAACTTCAGTCTTCCCACAAAAATTTTGCGAAGTGTCTGCCACTGCAATAAAAGCATACTACTATTTGATTTGCTCAAATTATATAATTTTTATGCCAACAATATGTTTGCGAAAATGACACCATCGTTGTTCTAAACAGCTAAACACCTGTGCCTAAGGCGGAAGAGTCGACTTGGACTTAACTATCTGGTATACTGGCAGCAGGTCGTCCCACATGCATCTTACATTCCGCCCGAAACATTTTTTCCAAACATTGTTTCAACATGAAGTATTCATAATTACGCCAACACTGAACGCAGGCTCGCGTTGCACGTCATGTTAGTCATGGCAACACGAATCAAGATTTTTTAAATTTTTGTGCAAAGCTGCAAAAATAGATGAAACTTGAACACTTTTAAACACAGAACTATCGATTTCTAAAATATATAAAGTAGGTATATTATTTTGGGTTCTATGGGCTTTATTTTAATGTAAAATTCAAAACGAAACTCTACGTAAAACGTTTTTAAATGTGAATTGAAATCAGCTGCAAAAAGTTTTACAATTTGTTATGTGAAACGATTTTCCAAGCTTCCGACATGCATTTTTACATTTGTTGCCTCTTCACTCCTGGCAAACAGCCACATTTTGAGATCAGTGAGATGACCACCCACCGAACCACTCACGGTAACCCACGCCCGCGATCATTGATGAACTTTAGACTTCGCTAATGCTTTCGTTTCCCCGGGTGTAAATACCCGGGCGGAATTAGTACCCTCGCCCCGGGCTTACGCCCGGAACGCCGCTCCGCGCCGTCGGCTCGGGGATTATATGGCTGGTATAACATTTATCACTTATTTACTGAGACCGAGGGAAACAGTGTGTTTTGTGGACCCGAGACCGCCGTTGTTTCCGAGGCGAAGCCGAGGGCAACAACGGCGGTCGAGGGGCCACAAAACACACTGCTTTCCCGAGGTCTCAGTAAATAAGTGTTTTGTTATATAGTATATAAGTGTGAAAGTATGAATAATTCACCGGTTATAGGCAATTCCAGCTTTTAGTTTATGCATGCAGGGAATGATGGGAAGTAAGGTATCATATTGCTGATTATGCTGAAAAATTAAAAATGGTGGCCATGTAAACACGGAGTGATAGCTTACACTTGTAAATATTGAAATATTTGGGTTGTTTCGGCAGTTTTTATTGACATTTTTCAGCATAATCAGCAATATGATACCTTACTTCCCATCATCCCCTGCACGCATAAACTAAAAGCTGGAATTGTCTATCGGAGTGAACTTTGCAACCAAAACTGGATAAATGGAACGCCGTAAATGTTTAGTAAAAAGTTTAAAAAATGAACTTTGGAACTTCGTGGTTGGCACGCATGCGTATTGTACCCATTTTATTATTGACCGATCAATAAATGTTTCATTGCGAACCGGTTGCCGAACATGACGTTTTGTGGACCGGCACGTGACACGGTTTTGAGCAATCGGGAAACAGTAAAATTGAACTTTGACACTAACTATATAACAATATCATTTATGGACCTGGAGCGAGGGGGATTCGGCGTAATAATACCCAAAGTGATGACTGAGGATAATATTCCGCCGAATTCCCCGAGCTGTGAAAGAAATCTCATTATACAGGTATTCTTCAGTTTCAAACACAGTTACTTAACAAAGAAATTCTCGAAAATTAGACACTCGTGATTGATGCGAGGATGATGTGAGAGTGAAATTCCTATACGCTTATTACCTGGGCCAGACGTTTAAGTTTTCAGTTTTCTATTTCGCCAGCGTTGAGTTTGTCTATCAGTTCGATAACTTCAAAAATATCAACGATACTAATACGAAAATTTAAGCGACTATGAACCGCGGGTATTTTTTTGCTTTTACATTTTTACCTCTTTTTTTGACAAGGCCAAAGTATAAAAGAACAAGATCATGCATGGCATGCTGTTCGAAGTATAATCAAGCCCTCTCAAAACTAAATCTAATCATGTGCCTGAAATATTTGATGCCATCCACACAAGGTCTTTCATTTGCTTCATGACAGCAAAAGAAGACAGCAAAAGAATTCGTCGAAAAACGTCCTCTATAGACTATAGACATAGTATTGTTTTAGGAAAAACAGCTCGACTTCTCGAAACACGCAGTCAAAGTCCATTTCTGTTATATTAAAATCCGTACAGCCATGGCGTAAGATTCTATTCGAATTGCCGACAGACAGTGGCTACGTCAGAAACATGTAAAATTTGCTGAAATGCTTCAATTTTCCATTTTGTCGTCCTAGCTCATTCTTTTTTTTTATCTAAGGCGCTTAAAAGATAATAAGTTCTGTTGTTTCAACCCACTAAAGTAACTATACATGGAGTGGAGCGTCAGGTGACTTTAACACCTATCTTTGGTTATATTTGTTTCAGTTAGTCCAACACCGTCCACTACAGATCCTACAGTTAGTACAACACCGAACACTACAGATCCTACAGTTAGTACAACACCAAACATTACAGATCCTACAGTTAGTACAACATCGAACATTACAGATCCTACAGTTAGTACAACACCATCCACTACAAATCCTACAGTTAGTACAACACCATCCACTACAGATCCTACAGTTAGTACAACACCATCCACTACAGATCCTACAGTTAGTACAACACCGACCACACCAGGTACGTATAGTATTGGTATATTGTTTATTTTAATTTTTTATATGTAATCTTTGACGCGTTCCAAACTATCTTTGTATTTTGCAAAATAGAATCCCCCCCCGGAAACTGCATGATTAACCAAATTTTGCAGACACCACAAAAAATTTCATTCCAAGTAGCTGAATTATGCAGGCAAAATAACCGTCTCCATAAAATTAGAAATATTGTAGACTTAACCCAATAGATTTCACAATAAAGGTGTATTAGAAAAAGTACACAATTGTAAAATACTCACCAGACTGAAAACTTCGCAAGATATCTGAAAATTGACCTGAATATTGATATTTCCCTGATTATGAAATTAATCTGAAATTTTACACCACGATGAAACGGGCTTGCGCACAGAAATGGAAGTTTGAAATACAATTTTAATTCAGTGATCGCAAGCTTGGGAAGCGTTTTATGGTGTTAACAAAGTTTCAGACAATTTTACGTGCATTAACTGAAGTCCCCCACAGGACCTCTCAATTAAACGTGGTATTTTTTGCCCTAGTACACTAGCCTTTTACGCGTATTTTTATTAACTTACGCGTTACTGATTTCATACATCATTAATTTTATGCATCATTAATTTCATGCATGATCGATTTCTCATATACTCGTGAACGCCCATTTCCACTCAGGGAAGTTTTCCGCAGAAAGAAAATTTTGCGAAATGTGATTGACAGACACAAATTTTCCGTCGGAAAAAAATTTTGAAGTTGCAAATTTTTTAACTTTTAACAATGATATTTTCGAAAAATTTTTGTCTGTGGAAAATGTTCTTGAGTGGAAATGGTTCTTTACAATGAGTTAAAACTTGATGCTTGTGATGTTACTCTGACTGTGTATCCACACCGGGCAGGCTTGAAAAATATGCCTGACCACGGTGGGAATCGAACCTACGACCTTTGGAATACTAGCCCAATGCTCTGCCAACTGAGCTACGCGGTCTGGTCGGTTCGAGTATGTGATATTTCGGAACAGAATCTAGTTCCTTCGATATCAATGTTATCTAATAATATCATTGTTATCAAGCTTGCCCGATATCAATGTTATCAAGCTTGCCCGGTGTGGATATACACTCAGAGTAACATCACAAGCATCATATTCACCTGAGTACATTACACCAACACAGAAAAAATCATGAGTTAAAACTTATGGGGAAAAGGCTAATACACGAAAAAAATGTTTTAGAGGTCGCGTGGAAGACGTAATTTACGTTAAATTATCTGCTACTTCGTCAACAACTAGTAGTTCGTAAGAAAGCTGTCCAAACTTGCTTTTTGTTTTAAACCTTCCAATTTTGCGCACAAGTCAATTTTAATGTGGTTTTTAAAACCAGCGTTGCTGCGGTCAAAATCAAATTTTCATATTTGTTTAAGTGTATTAGTTTTAAGAAATGTGTTGTCCAGCTATCATGTAGTTACACACACATTTACTTAACCAAGAAATTCTCAGAAAGTCGAGAAAGACATTCGGACCTGATAAGACCATGACGTAATGCACCTGACCGTGAGAGTATCCAACGTATTGTCCATTGATACGAAAATTTAAGAGACTAAAGGACACTGCCCTCTGTACGAATTGATTAACTTTTGGTTAAGTTTGGAAGAACATTCGATGAGATATTAGCAAAAGTTAATTTCGTCTTCCTATGCTGGGCAGAATACACGGCTTCTGTAATTAGTTCATAGGCTTATTTATGCGTGCTATAGAACTTAATTCGCTGGTGGAGTCCCGTCAAGTTTACATGAATTTTAACATTTTTAATTCTAATCTAATGTAGTTCTTCCATGTGGCAGTAATCCATGCATGAATGGTGGAAATTGTTCAGATAATGGAACATCATTCTCTTGCTCATGCCCGGTTGGATATACCGCTCAGCTCTGCGATGGTAAGTATTGTTTTCAAAAATTTAGTAGACGCATTTTTTCTCTTCCCTTTTCATTCCGGAAAGAATTTTGTGGAATTGAGTTTATTTCCTCGCAAAGAGTGCAAACTTGTGTTAAATTTAAAGTGTATATTACATGAAATTTTTTATTTTCTTAAATGAAATAACTATTTAAGCTGTAGTGTAACTTACTTTTCAGTTTCTTGTTGTTATGGTTTGTTCCCGAGATATTTCAATTTGTTTCATATGTAAACGAGTGTAACAGTAACAGTAATTAACAGTAACAGTAACAGTAATTTTAATTAAAAGAAAAAATATACAAAAATTTAACAGTTGTCTGCAGGTAGCGAAAGCTATTCGAGGCAGACAACTGGAAAACTATACTACGAGTTAATTATAGAGATGACATATAAGTTTCAAAATAAAAAAATGACATATAAGTTTAACACATAAAATGACATATAAGTTTCAAAATATATGCAATAATAATATTTTATCTTAGAAGAATTTAGCTGAATTTATCTAATTGTTATATTTTTCAATCTGTTTGTTAACATTGCGATATCAACATAATCCTCCTCATTTGTAAATATAGAAACTAATACTTTATGTAATATTTTCTTAAATTTATTCATCGGAAAATTGCGTAAGTCACATGGAATGCTATTCCATATTTTTGGGCCAGTTCTGGAAAAAGAATTATTCAGTTTATTTAAACATGAATGTTTCACATAGAAGTTGACGTTTGAAGAAAATCTGGTATTATAGTCATGTATGTCATGAGTATAAGTAAGGAGATTTGATATATGTAGGGGTGCCAAGTTATTATGTACATCATGCATCAGAATAGAGACAGATTTAAAGTATAACATCTCAACAGGTAGAATATTGGAAGAAGAAAAGAAAGGAATTGCATGGGATGTATAATCCCCAAAGTAGATTAACCGAAGAACACGTTTTTGAAGCTTTAAAATTTTATCAAGATGAACTTTGGCAGCCTGACCCCATACTGCTATGCCATATGAAACATGAGGAAGAATAAGAGATTTATAAATGTTTATTAAAGTATTTCTAGGTACAAAATGCCTTAATTTGGAGATAATCTTACTCAGTTTTGAAGCAACGTGACTAATATGGTATTTCCATGTAAGATTGCTGTCAATAAGCAGACCCAAGTATTTGACATAATGTTTACTTTCCAAAGAAATGAAAGAGTTTGAGTCGTTGTCAAATATCTTCAAATCTACCTCATAATTTATCTTCTTTTGATAAGGATGAAAGATCACTACGTCAAATCACTACGTTGGTGTATTCTGATTGGATTTGAGTTTTCAGTCTTTCGTAGATAGATAGACCCGTGTTTTGTCCAACAAAATCTATAATTATTGTCATTTTTAAATTTCTTGGCTTCTGCTAATAACTGAGTTTATTTCCTCGCGAAGAGTACAAATGTGCGAACATGACCTCTAATTTATGTCGTCTCATTGGTTGCATGCTCAACTTACACTGGTTATAAATCTATTAACTCTAAAAACTGTAGATATCTGTTCACGTTTTTCTCCAGTGTTTCTTCACATTTACGAGCGGGTGAAGTTTGAAATTATCATCTTGGATGAAAGCAGTGATATTCAACCATTTTGAAGAGCTCGCAACCAATGTGACGTCATAAATTAGAGGACATATTCACACTATAGTACCCCTTTTAAATATCAAACAAATTGACATATCTCGGGAACAAACCATGAAAGTGGGAAAATGAAAAATAAGTTACACTACAACTTAACGAGTTCTTTCGTTCAAGAAAATAAGAAATTTCATGTCATATACACTTTAAGATATGCTCGAAAATTCGATGATCATGGTTGAGAAATTGTCAATGCTAGAAAAGCAATGCTGGGCCACTTGAATTTTCCGCAATTCCGTAATAGTGAGAGTCCGCAATAGCGAGAGCTATTTCAATGCATTTCATAGTAGTTTTGGCGGGACATTTACCAACTGTCCGTAATAGCGAGATGTCCGTAATTGTGGTGCGTCCGCATATATATTCTTATTTTTGTACATGTATTTATCTTCGCTCTTTCGGCATTATTTTTTTTCCAAAATATATTTTTCAACCAGTTTAAATATAAAAAAAGTGTAAATCTAACCTGTAAACAGTTACTATATGAGCTTTTCATTGTGTTCTATTGCTGTTAAGGCTATATAATAAGCACATAACATGTTGTTTTATCGTTCGAAAAACTCCGGTAATTCGCAAAATTCCGGTAATTCTTGCGCCGCCATCTTGTTTTCTCTATACTAGCAGGATATGAGCTAATATCCTGCTAGTATAGAGAGCCAATCAGATTGCAGAATAGCTTACATCCGGTAACTGTTTATGTAATAACAATTGTTTTATATAGCTGTCCAATTTATAATGATTCCAACCACATCTCTCACATTTTGCGAACTTTTACGAACGGTTTCGTGTAACAAATGTATTGCTCATGGTAGAAAAGTCTTGCGATTTATATTGATGCTGTTAACCATTTATGTAAAAAGCCCACAAAACTATCGCCTTTCTTCACAACCATAAAAACTGTTAGAAATTTGTTAACAGTTACTTTCAGTTACTTTCTCATAGTTTTATGTTTTGACGGAAGAGAGTTTTCGATTTAAATCTCCCATGTCAGTTGAAAGGAGATATCGGGAGAGTTAAGAAATTGTGTGTGTATCGCTGGAAAAGTTAGCGTCGCTTTAACTTAACTATCCGAAATCCGATTCAGTTCTCCCTGTAAAAATTCTCTTTTTGTCATACCCAACTAAATTTACAGATCTTACACTAGCAGAGAAAAAGTGACGTGACGCGTTATCGCGTGAGGCGCGAGGTTGACCGCTCAGCGTTTTATGCAAGATCTACCTGGAACAAGTAAAAATCTGTTAATTGCTAGTGGGACTGTTTGGATATTTGTGGAAATAGTCTATTTTTTACGACGACGATAGACTTTTAAAACTTCAGTTGGAACCGTTTATAATTATCACGGCGCATGCGACAACATTATACGTCAATGCAACAAGTTCAAATTACAATTAGAACTTTGATTAGAACTGTTTCGAATTGGATAATTTGATTCTTTCAATTAATCAATCTAGACAAACCTCAAGATGAATAAATTCATGATTATAATCCCTATGTTTTTCATCATTCTGGTTGTCTGGTTCTGTAATCCAACGACGCAAAATGCTTCTTGTGTGTTGTTATGGACCGCCTGATAGTAACGATATGTCTGATCTTAGATCCTTTGCTGATAATTTATTTCCTAGTCGGAACAAGATCGTTCTTACCAGCGATACCAGGGGCGCGAAAAAATGTTTTTGATGTTGCAAGGTTTAAGTTTTGCTGTTTTTCGCTCTATCTTACTAAAAGAAGTACAAAACGCTGTTTACGACTTGCCCGAAAGTGGCCGCCACAAGCGAAAATGAATTTCCATATTGCTAATGATTTAGGTCTTCACTCACTGCTTAATATATTTGAATATGTCGTGGTTCACTTTTTTGCCTTCATTCTCTCAGAGACGGCTTAATCTACAGGGATATCGGGACATCTTCCGTTAATAAAGTCCTCTTAATTTCTGCTCATGATTTATGTTTTGGAAAATTTAATGAAATCATTGTTCTGTTTCAGACATCAACGAATGTTCACAAGCAAACATCTGTCACGCTCAAGCAACATGTAATAATACACAAGGATCATACGTATGTACGTGCAACACTGGCTATACAGGCAATGGAACGATTTGCTCAGGTCAGTAGAGAGTCATAAAACAAATTGGGAAAATTGAATGGGAAAATTTAGATTCCAGACGAGGTATATGATCAAGGCAACATTATTATATAAAATTCTCAACGATTTTAGTGCACCAAATTTGAAAGTTATTGATGAGGAGGAATTCTCTACAAACTAATTGTGACCTCAGAAATTCTCACACTGACGTGGCCCTTCCTAAACCGAGACGCGAGTTTCTTATAAAAAAGCTTTAAATAGGCCTACAGTGCTACTAAACTTTGGAATAATTTTCCGCGCGAAGCTAAAGAAGCGCAGTCAATTTACTCTTTCAAAAACTTTGTAGAACAATTTAATTGTTAGATAGAAACAACTATAGATCTTAATATACGACCGGGTTATATTTTTCTTTTATTGTAAATATATTTTTCTTGTGCTAGTATGTCGCCCCTTGTGGAAATCAACTATTGCTCTTGACAAGGCTAGCGTCATTAAGTAAAGTCTTACATACACACACATACATACACATACACATACACATACACATACACATACACATACACATACACATACACATACACATACACACACACACACACACACACACACACGTACACATACACATACAACTACACATACGCACATACACACATAATGTTGTAATAACTACACATCCAAGTAACTATAACCAAGAGTGTCGGTTGGCGAGCACCTTACGGCTTGGTTAAGCCTGCTTCTATAGGTCAAGCGCAGATTTTCGACGAGCCAGGGGCGCGAAGCGCCTTTTTAGTGGGAGCCTAGGACGAGTGTCATAACCAGGATCATACCTATGCACTTGCAATACTGGTTACATAGGCAATGGAACGTATTGCCTAGGTAACTAAAGAACAATAAAATAAGTGACTGAAAATATTAAACGGGAAATTGGGAAAAATAAATGAGAAATCTTAGATTCCAGTCGACGAGGTATGAGCAAGATTACATTATTATACAAAATTCTCAACGACTTTGGTGCACCAAATTTGAAAGAGTTCTTGATGAGCAGAAATTCTTTAGAAACTAATTGTGACTCAGAAATTCTCACACTGATCTGGCCCTTCCTAAACCGAGACGCAAGTTTCTTGAAAAACCTTTAAGGACAGTGGCGGTAAGCTTTGGAATAGTCTTCCGCCTACAGCTAAGGAAGCGCAATCAATTTACTCTTTTAAAAACTTTGTAAATTAATTTCATGGATAGATAGAAACAACTATAGTTCTTAATATACGGCCGAAACACACCAATTTAATTGAATATTTTTCATCTCTTGTAAAAAGCTATATATCTTTGTAACTAACTTTTACTTGTGCTAGTGACACCCCTTGTGGAAATGAACTATTGCTCTTGACAAGGCTAGCGTCATATAAAGCTTTACATACATACATACATACATGCGAACATACACACATAATGTTGTAATAACTACACATAGGCTTACAAGTAACTATAACCAAGAGTTTCGGTTGGCGAGCACGTTACGGCTTGGTTAATTAAGCCTGCTTCTATAGGTCAAGGGCATATATTCGACGAGCCAGTCGCGCGAAGCGCCTTTTTTGTGGGAGCCTAGGAGGAGTGTAGTAATTCCGCTCGACAATTAACACTTCTGTACTTAAGCTTTTATTTTATATCTGTGTTGGTGTTTTTCAGCATATCTTGCGAATTTCAATTTCGTAAATTATTTTCAGAGATGGAAAAAACATCTTTTCGATTTCTTACTCTCTGTAACCGATTTGGACAAATGTTACTGCCACAAGGCAATATCAATTCCTAAATTACTAATGATTTAGCCCTTTCCTAATTACTTGATATATTTGAATATGTTGGGGTAAAGTTCATTGTTTTTTCATTATTTTCTCAGAGACGCTTAACCCACAAATATGTTGGGGAATTTTCCGTTTGGCAGTGAGGAAAGTCCTCTTAATTTCTGATCATGCTAATTGTTTTTGAAAATTGAATTCATTCTTCTTTTTCAGACATCGACGAATGTTCACAAGCAAACACGTGTCACGCTGACGCAACATGTACTAATACACCAGGATCATACCTATGCACTTGCAACACTGGTTACACAGGCAATGGAACGGATTGCGTAGGTCAGTAAAGAACAATAAAATAAATGAATGAAAATATTAAACGGGAAATGGGAAAATTTAATGGGAAAACTTAGATTCCAGACGACGAGGTATGAGCAATGTTAGATTATTATATAAAATTCTCAACGACTTTGGTGCACCAAATTTGAAAGAGTTATTGATGAGAAGGAATTCTTTAGAAACTAATTGTGACTCAGAAATTCTCACACTGATCTGGCCCTTCCTAAGCCGAGACGCAAGTTTCCTGAAAAAGCTTTAATTACAGTGGCGGTAAACTTTGGAATAGTCTTCCGGGCACAGCTAAGGAAGCGCAATCAATTTACTCTTTCAAAAACTTTGTAAATTAATTTCATGGTTAGATAGAAACAACTATAGTTCTTAATATACCACCGAATAACACCAATTTCAATGAGTATTTTTTAATATCTCTTGTAAAAAGCTATATATCTTTGTAACTAACTTTTACTTGTACTATAGTGACACCACTTGTGGAAATGAACTATTGCTCTTGACAAGGCTAGCGTCATTATATGAAGCTTTACATACAAAGCTACATACATACGCACATACACATATAATGTTGTAATAACTACACATAATACAAGTAACTATAACGAAGAGTGTCGGTTGGCGATTACCTTACAGCTTGGTTATAAGCCTGCTTCTATAGGCCAAGGACAGATTTTCGACGAGCCAGTGGCGCGAATCGCCTTTTTAGTGGGAGCCTAGGACGAGTGTAGTAATTCCGCTCGACAATTTACATTCCTGTACTTAAGCTTTTATTTTATATCTATACGTTGCTGTTTTTCAGTATATCTTGCGAATTTCAATTTCGTAAAATATTTTTAGAGATGTAAAAATCATCTTTTCGATTTCTTGCTCTCTGTAACAGATTTGGACAAAGGTTACTGCCACAAGGCAATATCAATTCCTAAGTTACAAATGGCTTAGCCCTTTCCTATAATTACTTGATATATTTGAATATGTTGGGGGGTAAAGTTCGGGGTTTTTTTTCATTATTTTCTTAGAGACGCTTAGGCCACAAATATGTTGCGGCATTTTCCGCTTGGCAGTGAGGAGAGTCCTCTTAATTTCTGACCCTGCTTATTGTTTTGGAAAATTGAATTCTTCTTTTTCAGACATCGACGAATGTTCACAAGCAAACATGTGTCACGCTGACGCAACATGTACTAACACACCGGGATCATACCTATGCACTTGCAACACTGGTTACACAGGCAATGGAACGTATTGCGTAGGTCAGTAAAGAACAATAAAATAAATGAATGAAAATATTATAGGGGAATTGGGAAAATTAAATTGGAAAGCTTAGATTCCAGACGACTATTTATCAGCAAGGTTACATTCTTATATAACGACTTTGGTGCACCAAATTTGAAAGAGTTCTTGATGGGGAGGAATTCTTTAGAGACTAATTGTGACTCAGAAATTCTCACACTGATGTGGCCCTTCCTAAACCGAGACGCAAGTTTCTTGAAAAAGCTTTAAGTACAGTGGTGGTAAACTTTCGAATAGTCTTCCGCCCACAGCTAAGGAAGCGCACTCGATTTACTCTTTCAAAAACTTTCCAAATTAATTTCATGGTTAGATAGAAACAACTATATAGTTCTTAATATACGACCGGATCACACCAATTTAATTGAATATTATTTATCTCTTGTAAAAACTATATATCTTTGTAACTAATTTTTACTTGTGGTAGTGACACCCCTTGTGGAAATGAACTATTGCTCTTGACAAGCCTAGCGTCATTATATAAAGCTTTACATAACATAATGTTGTAATAACTACACAACCAAGTAACTGTAACCATGGATAATAAAATAAATGGATATAGGAAACTAGCTAATGACCTAATGTTTTCAATGGGCTGATGGCGTGATTGGATGTTGAAACCTAGTTGCAAACCAAATTCTAAAAACGGCATGTTTAGCAATAATACAGCTAAACATTTTAGTCAAAGAGCAAATGAATATAACTACGCCATTCTACGATAAAACCTCTAAGTATTCCCAGTCAATTTTAGCAAATATTTCAAGTACTAAACAGTGAAAAAGGCATCCCAAATTTCGTTAAAATTGGGGACGCCAATTTCGTAGCTACAAATGTAAAAAAATACAAAACAAAGACGAAAAACATTTACCTTCAATACTTTGTCGTGGCTTAGGCATGTTTTTAAAACAATTAGACCGGTTTATGCTTCAATATTGCTCTTTTAAGGCGGAAAATATAGCGAAACAACAAAAATGCAGAGAACTTTGCAATACACGTGACGTCACAGATTGCAACTAGGTTGTTTTTACGTACGTCAGCGAGAGTCCTTTCCATGTATTTTATTATCCATTCTATAACCAAGAGTGTGGGTTGGCGAGCACCTTACGGCTTGGTTAAGGCTGTAGGTCAAGGGCAGATTTTCGACAAGCCAGGGGCGCGAAGCGCCTTTTTAGTGGGAGCCTAGGACGGGTATAGTAATTCCGCACGACAATTCACACTCCTGTACTTAAGCTTTTAGTTTATATCTATGTTGCTGTTTTTCAGAATATCTTGCGAATATCCATTTCGTCAAATATTTTTAGAGATGTAAAAACATCTTTTCGATTTCTTACTCTCTGTAACCGATTTGGACAAAGGTTACTGCGACAAGGCAATATCAATTCCTATAAATTACTAATGATTTAGCCCTTTCCTAATTACTTGATATATTTGAATATGTTGGGGTAAAGTTCATTGTTTTTGTTTATAATTTTCTCAGAGACGCTTAACCCACAAATATTTTGGGGCATATTCCGTTTGGCAGTGAGGAAAGTCCTCTTAATTTCTGATCATTTTTATTGTTTTGGAAAATTGAATTCATTCTTCTTTTTCAGACACCGACGAATGTTCACAAGCAAACATGTGTCACGCTGACGCAACATGTACTAATACACCAGGATCATACCTATGCACTTGCAACACTGGTTACACAGGCAATGGAACGTATTGCGTAGGTCAGTAAAGAACAATTAAATAAATGAATGAAATTATTAAACGGGAAATGGAAAAATTAAATACTAAACCTTAGATTCCAGACGACGAGGTATGAGTAAAGGTTACATTATTATATAAAATTCTCAACGACTTTCGTCAGCCAAATTTGAAAGAGTTATTGATGAGGAGGAATTCTTTAGAAACTAATTGTGACTCAGAAATTCTCACACTGATCTGGCCCTTCCTAAACCGAGACGCAAGTTTCTTGAAAAAGCTTTAAGTACAGTGGCGGTAAGCTTTGGAATAGTCTTCCGCCCACAGCTAAGGAAGCGCAATCAATTTACTCTTTCAAAAACTTTGTAAATTAATTTCTTGGTTAGACAGAAACAACTATAGTTCTTAATATACGACCGAACCACACCAATTTAATTGAATATTTTTTAAGATGTCTTGTAAAAAGCTATAAATCTTTGTAACTAACTTTACTTGTGGCAGTGACACCCCTTGTGGAAATGAACTATTGCTCTTGAGTAGGCTAGCGTCGTTATATAAAGCTTTACATAACATAATGTTATAATAACTACACAACCAAGTAATTATAACCAAGAATGTGGATTGGCGAACACCTTACGGCTTGGTTAATCCTGCTTCCGTAGGTCAACGGCAGAATTTCGACGAGCCAGGGGCGCGAATCGCCTTTTTAGTGGGAGCCTAGGACGGGTGTAGTAATTCCGCACGACAGTTCACACTCCTGTACTTGAGATTTTATTTTATATCTATGTTGCTGTTTTTCAGTATATCTTGCGAATTTCAATTTCGTAAAATATTTTTAGAGATGTAAAAAACATGTTTTCGATTTCTTAGTCTCTGTAACCGATTTGGACAAAGGTTACTGCCACAAGGCAATATCAATTCCTAAATTTCTAATGATTTATCCCCTTCCTAATTACTTGATATATTTGAACATGTTGGGGTAAAGTTCATTGGTTTGTTTTCATTATTTTCTCAGAGACGCTTAACCCACAAATATGTTGGTGCATTTTCCGTCTGGCAGTGAGGAAAGTTCTCTTAATTTCTGATCATGCTTATTGTTTTGTAAAATTGAATTCATTCTTCTTTTTCAGACATCGACGAATGTTCACAAGCAAACATGTGTCACGCTGACGCAACATGTACTAATACACCAGGATCATACCTATGCACTTGCAACACTGGTTACACAGGCAATGGAACGTATTGCGTAGGTCAGTAAAGAACAATAAAATAAATGAATGAAAGTATTAAACAGGAAATGGGAAAATTAAATGGGAAAACTTAGATTCCAGACGACGAGGCATGGGCAAGGTTAGATTATTATATAAAATTCTCAACGACTTTGGTGCACCAAATTTGAAAGAGTTATTGATGAGAAGGAATTCTTTAGAAACTAATTGTGACTCAGAAATTCTCACACTGATCTGGCCCTTCCTAAGCCGAGACGCAAGTTTCCTGAAAAAGCTTTAATTACAGTGGCGGTAAGCTTTGGAATAATCTTCCGGGCACAGCTAAGGAAGCGCAATCAATTTACTCTTTCAAAAACTTTGTAAATTAATTTCATGGTTAGATAGAAACAACTATAGTTCTTAATATACCACCGAATTACAACAATTTCATTGAATATTTTTTAAAATCTCTTGTAAAAAGCTATATATCTTTGTAACTAACTTTTACTTGTGCTAGTGACACCCCTTGTGGAAATGAACTATTGCTTTTGACAAGGCTAGCGTCATTATATGAAGCTTTACATACATACCTACATACATACCCACATACATATATAATGTTGTAATAACTACACATAATACAAGTAACTATAACGAAGAGTGTCGGTTGGCGATCACCTTACGACTTGGTTATAAGCCTGCTTCTATAGGCCAAGGACAGATTTTCGACGAGCCACTGGCGCGAATCGCCTTTTTAGTGGGAGCCTAGGACGAGTGTAGTATTTCCGCTCGACAATTTACATTCCTGTACTTAAGCTTTTCTTTTATATCTATACGTTGCTGTTTTTCAGTATATTTTGCAAATTTCAATTTCGTATAATATTTTTAGAGATGTAAAAAACATCTTTTCGATTTCTTACTCTCTGTAACCGATTTGCACAAAGGTTACTGCCACATGCAAGGCAATATCAATTCCTAAATTACTAATGATTTAGCCCTTTCCTAATTACTTGATATATTGAATTTGTTGGGGTAAAGTTCGTTGTTTTTTTTTCATTATTTTCTCAGAGACGCTTATCCCACAAATATGTTGGGGCATTTTCCGCTTGGCAGTGAGGAGAGTCCTCTTAATTTCTGATCATGCTTATTGTTTTTGAAAATTGAATTCATTCTTCTTTTTCAGACATCGAAGAATGTTCACAAGCAAACATGTGTCACGCTGATGCAACATGTACTAATACACCAGGATCATACCTATGTACTTGCAACACTGGTTACACAGGCAATGGAACGTACTGCGTAGGTCAGTAAAGAACAATAAAATAAATGAATGTAAATATTAAACGTGAAAATTAAATTCGAAAATTTAGATTCCAGACGACGAGGTATGGGCAAGGTTAGATTATTATATAAAATTTTCAACGACTTTGGTGCACCAAATTTGAGAGAGTTATTGATGAGGAGGAATTCTTTAGAAACTAATTGTGACTCAGAAATTCTCACACTGATCTGGCTCTTCCTAAACCGAGACGCAGGTTTCTTGGAAAAGCATTAAGTACAGGGGCGTAGCGTGCGGGGGGGGGGCGGGGTGGTGACACCCCCCAGTTTTAGTGAGGTAGTTGGTAAAACGCGAAGTTATTCGTTAATGGCAAGAGCCATGACAGCGGTCGGTAAAACAAATCGGTTAAAGTGGAATTTTGCTCCTCGGTAAATGGCTTTTAATAATAAAAAAAATTAATTTAATTTAATTTTAATTCATAAACTTTGCCGATGAAACATTACATTACATGACAGGACAAAAACAAACGTACATAATGAAATACAGTAGGTACATGACCACGGCTGGGTGACCGTAACAGCGAATAGCCAATTACTGCGGGCCCGACACAAAACTATCATTACACATATATATATATATATATATATATATATATATATATATATATATATATATATATATATATATATATATATATATATATATATATATATATACACATACATGCGTTACAGGTGTGATCTTGTTTACAGTTCAACTGCAACACGATATTGGACGTAACAGGCTTCGAATACAATTACATTTCAGACATATACTCTTAAATGTTCGAGAGTTTTCAGGATCATAATTAATGTTCAGTGATGTAAAGTAATACTTGAGCAGATCTGATTTAAATACAGAAATGCTAGTATCCTTAGTAAAGTTCAGTTCATTTGCAAGATAGTTCCAAACTCGGCACGCTCTTGGGAGGAAAGATTTTTGGTAGGTGGTAGTTCTGCATTTAGGGATGACATATTTCAGTTTGTTTGATGAGGTTGATCGGGTTGTTCTACGAGTGGCGAAGATAGCTGGCGACACTTGGGGATTTAGCGTTACTAGGCCATATGTGATTTTGAAAAACAAGATAAGGTCCAAGTATTCGTGCCAATAGCTTACTGGAAGAAGATTTAAAGACCGTAACCTCGATTTATAGTCAACAGCTGTGCTAAACGGTAGATTTAAGATGTATTTAGTAGCACGTCTTTGTGTTCTTTCGAGTTTACCTACAAGTTCCACTGACTGTGGTGACCAAACCTGTGTTGCGTAGCCAAAGTGCGACCTAACCAATGCCAGGTATAACGCTCGTCTGGCTGCAGTATTTTGAATAAACAAAGTGTTCCTTCTAACATATCCCAGAATCTTATTCGCTTTCGCTGTCTGCTCGTTCACATGTTTTTTCCACGTTAAATCTGATGACAGCCACACGCCAAGGTCTCTTTCGTTGTCAGTAATGGATATGATTGAGTTGTCCAACTTGTACGAGGAAGCAACTGGTGCTTTTTTCCGCATTAGCGTTTGATGTTTGCACTTGGATTGGTTGAATGATAGCCCAGATACCGTTGACCAATGTTCCAGGGTTCAAAGATCAGTTTGTAGAGAGGTAACATCGTTCTGTGATTGAATTGCGGAGAATATCTTGGTGTCGTCGGCAAACATTGCAGCTCGACTGGACGTGGGTGCTTCGAGTAGGTCATTCACGTAAAGTATTGACCCCTGTGGAACGCCTTAACAAACTGGTAGAGACTTCGATGTTACACCAAGTACAGTAACACGTTGACGACGGTCAGTCAAGTACGTTTGAAACCATTTTAGTAGGTTACCGCCAATACCCGAATTTGGTAATTTCTGCGTCAATCGCTTATGGTTGATTCGGTCAAACGCTTTTGACATGTCAAGGTATACCATATCTACCTGCCCTCCCTTGTCCAGACAGGCGCCGATGTAATCTAATGCTTCTAACAAATTAGTCACACAAGATTTTCCTTGGAGGAATCCGTGCTGGTGATCATAAATTATCCCAGAAAAGTGTTGTCGAATGTTCATGAAAATGTACCGTTCTAGAACTTTCGAAATAATTGGCAGGAGAGAAATTGGCCTGTAATTCTCTGTATATTCTTTGTTACCTTT